TCTTTTTTTCCCTCTCTTTTTTTCCCTCCCCCTTTTCTCTTTTTCCCGACGGCAGCGCAATTTTACCGACAATATCCTGACAGGTGGGGGGGGGGGGGGGGTGTCGCACCCCCCCCCAAACCCCTCCCCTTTGGCGACGCCCCTGCCGGTACTTCATCAGTAGTACTTGCAAAAATTTTCTCGAGTGTATAAACTGGGTTGTTATCAGGGGCGTCGCTAGACCTTTGTCAGTGAGGGAGTGGGGAGGGTGTAGAGGCCACCGATCACCGACAAACCGAGCAACCAATTACCGACAAATATATTAATGCCAATGTCCAAATGTCGACAAATTTAACCCTATAAACCCGGGGCCAGGAACTAAGTTATTTTTCAGTCTCCCCCCTCCCGCGCGAAGCGCGGAAACTTTGACACTTCATTAAATTATTATAGAAAAAAAGACGATCCGTTGTACCGTTCTCGACTCTTAATTCTTGTTTGGATCCAATTCCCCCCCCCCCCCCCGCGCAAAGCGCGGAAGTTTTGACGTTTCAATAAATTATTACTCTTAACCCTTGTCTGAATTCATTTTCGCCCATTCCGCGCAAAGCGCGGAAGCTTTGACGATTCATTAAATTATTACTCTTAATCCTTGTCTGAATTCATTATCGCCCATCTCGCGCGAAGCGCGGAAGCTTTTGCGTTTCAATAAATAATTACTCTTAATCCTTGTCTGAATTCTTTTTTCACCCATTCCGCGCTTCGCGCGGAAGCTTTGACGATTCATTAAATTATTACTCTTAATCCTTGTCTGAATTCATTTTTTCCCATCCCGCTCAAAGCGTGGAAGCTTCCACGTTTCATTGAATTATTAGAGAAAGAAGACGATTAATTTTACCGGTTCCGTCTCTTAATCCTGGTCTGAATTCATTTTCGCCCATCTCGCGTGGAGCGCGGAACCTTTTACGTTTCAATAAATTATTACTCTTTATCCTTGTCTGAATTGATTTTCGCCCATCCCGCGCGAAGCGCGGAAGCTTTCACGAAGACGATTCGTTGTATCGTGTTCTTGTCTGAATTCAGTTACCCCCCCCCCCTCCCGCGCGAAGCGCGGAAGCTTTCACGTTTCATCAAATTATTAGAGAAAGAAGACGATTCGTTGTATCGTTCTCAACTTTTAATCCTAGTCTGAATTGAGTACCCCCTACCCCCGCCGAAGCGCGGAAGCGTTGACACTTCATTAAATTATAAAGAAGGAAGACGATTCGTTGTACCAGGAAGCTGTAATGAATGGAGATACCATCTCGAAAGAATTTTCTGAGGGAAAATTATTCAAGATTAACCTGGCTTAACAAAAAGAAATGTAACCCTCTCCAGCCATCATTTCCATCAACAGCTGTCCATATCAATGCACAGTCCCTCTCTGGCATTCCAAATAGTACGAAATGTTACGCAACGCCATCTGTTTCCCTAAGTTCTCTATTCACTCGTTTGCAAAAATATGCAAGCATCGGGCTTTGAAGCCATGCGTGGCACCGACAAATTAAGTCATGTTCATGGAAGATGTATTTAGCTATAACATATAAAATGCAGAATTCACAACATTATGACCAATGCAACTTTCTATTAGTCATCAAATGCGTCTTCCGTTCTCGGATAGCTCTACTGAAGACATGGCCATTTTAACCAGCGAAATCGACCAAGGAAATCATGAGTTAGAGCGAATGAAAGATTTTCATAATCATGATTTTCTCATCTAATTATTGACATTTTCCGAAAATTTCCGAAATTTGTACATAGCTAGGAAGGTAGTCCAAAGGTTTATCTTCCTAAAGAACTAAATGAAATTGTGTTGTATGTTTGCGCATTTATTGATTTAGGGCTAGAAGTTGTCAAGTTAGCACCACTATTCACCCAAAGTACGGGCCGGCAAAGCAAAAGCCGCCGTGCTCGCTGGGCTGGGCTGTGTGTGGAAAGGGAGGACTTAGTGCTACTAGGGAGCTGTAAGGTTTTGGAGGGGGATTAAGGGGATTACGGTAGGGGAAACAAAAGACGCGCGGTGCCACGGATGACTTCAAAGGGGCCTCTTGGACGGGATCTCCATTCATTACAGCTTCCTGGTTGTACCGTTCTCGACTTTTAATCCTAGTCTGAATTCAATCTCCCCACTGGGCCCCTCAACGGTGCATGTGCAGTGTTACATGATGTAAGTATGGAACGCCCGGCAGTGCTTGTCACATTTGCTTCGGTAATGGAGTTTTTTTTATAGTGTTACTGTTAGTGGCCACGGCCCCTCAGTGACTATAAAAAAACATATGCTCTTCCTGGCCATTTGGGAATGTGTCAGTTTGCAACAGAAATGGAGAAACGCGCATTTTTGTTGAAAATCATGTGATAACACGAACATTTATACATCACTTGTATATGGAATTGAAAATAAGTCATGGTTCAATTTTATTTGGGGGGGGGGGGGCTAGCGCCCCCAAGCCCCCCACCAGTACGCCAGTGTCCCCTTTCTCTCCTCTCTTTCACCCCCCCCCCCGTTTCTTTTGTTTCCCTTTTCTCTTTTTTCTTCTTTTTTCCCTTTTCTTTCTTTTCTTTCTTTCCTTTCTTTTCCTTTCTTTCCTCTTCTCCCTCTTTTTCTTTTTTCTCTTTCTTTCTTCTCTTTTCTTTCCTTTCTTTTTCTTTCTTTTCCTTTCTTTCTTTTCTTTTCCTTTTTTCTTTTTTTTCCCTTTCCCTCTCTTTTTCCCTCCCCCTTTTCTCCTTTTTCCCGACGGCAGCGCAATTTTACCGACAATATCCTGACAGGTGGGGGTATCGCACCCCCACACCCCCCCTTTAGAGACGCCCCTGAGTGCCTGTAAATGCGCTTAATATCGTTATAAAATTGCAAATGCTTTCTACTCTTAGAGGGGGTTCTGACCCCCTCACAGACCCGCCCCCACTTGGTCGCTCCGTCCCTCGTCGCTGACTCCTCGCTCCATCGTTTTTCATATATTTCACCCCATGCGAGTTTGTGCTCCCCTCCCCCCGTTAAGAAATTTCTGGATCCGCCACTGCTAAATACAAGGTACTTTTGTTAATTTTATTCCTCCCACGGGCCCACACAAAAATCGACAGTTACCTAAGCTAAATCCTCATAATTTATACCCATCTCGGGACCGGTGTGAGGGATGGCACATAACTGAATTTAGAATATACAAACAACTGTATTTTACCCACCATTGTTAAGTCTTTCTGCTTACACCAACTCAACAATTTCTTAATTTTACCTAGTATTTCTTTATAATTTAAGTTTTCATTTACTTCTACATTAATTTTAAGGAAAACATTACCCCTAGAATATTTAAAAATTATACTTTCTGACCAAAGGATATTATACAACTTCCTTGAAGGGCGCCTAACAACATTTGTTTTTATCGTTGTTTACACGGAGTCCGGAAAGTTTCCTGGAACTTCTCCATAACAGTTCTATTACTTTGGTAATGGAATCCTCACCTTGAACAAAATGGGTAATTTGTTTGTTTTTTAAGTTGATTTTATTTCTCAAAACTCCTATTCTTTTTCGTACATAACATAGTTTATACAAAACTGCAACATTATAGCAGGAGCATATCTATAGCAGCACGAGGGGGGGGGGGGGGTTAGGGGGTTTAACCCCGGGTTTAACCCCTCCCCAGGCGCGCCGGAAGCTGTTTGGGATTTGGGGGGGGGGCAAACATTCCAGGGGGCTCACCTTCCAGGGGCAGTGACGTAATGAGAAAAAAAAGTTCGGAAGGGGGGGGGGGGGCAGACGAAAAAATCTGCATCACCACCAGTCTTACACGTTACATGCAGGTCCCGCGAAACGTTTTTCAATATGGAGTATTAACGATCACGTAGAGCCTGAATTGGCGTGGGGTCCAGCGCATGAGCCTCGGCAGGGGGTCAAGGGGTTGAGCCCCCGGAAGCTCAGGTTTTTTTTTATAGGTATTTACCTCTTTAAGGCTATTGACGTGCTCCAGGGAGGGGGAGAGAACCCAGAAACTCAGAGGTTTTAATATTTAATTACGGTCAGATGAGCATCTAGGGGCCCGCCTAAAGGACCTTGGTGGGGTCCACGGGGCAGAGCCCCCGGAAGCTCAGGGGTATTACGGTCAGATGAGCATCCAGGGGCCCGCCTTAGAGTCCTTGGTGGGTCCAGGGGGCATAGCCCCTGGAAGCTCGGGGGTTTAAGGTATTTAATTACGATCAGATGAGTACCAGGAAAACGCCTTAGGGCCCTTGGAGGGGTTCGGGGACGGAGCGTCCGTAAGCTCTGGGGTTTTAGGCATTATTTTAATTACGGTCAGATGAGCATTTTTTAATACCTTATTTGTGACATTGGCAGGTCACTTATATTTTTCTCTCCGTCTTTCTTTCTTTTTCTCTTTAACATACTTTTTCAGAAAGTGAGGGGGTGGAGGGGGGCTCGAGCCCAGCCATTTTGCAGACCATGACATAAAGGCTTTTAAATAAGCGTATTTTTCGCCCGACTGTAATTTGGGAATTTCTTATTTTCCAACAAACGCATAAAAAGGTATGATTTACCAAAAATACTGACAATCGAATGATGGTCTACGCGAATCCGAAAAGTAGGCCTAGGGTCTACTCAAACTCTGAAGCAATCATGAAGAAAGGAAAAGTGTAGAAAAGGAAAATCTAGATCTACAACAACTTATGGGACAGATCTTTGATTCGGTATATAAGGAGTGTAATAAGCTTGCGCTGAGTAGCTAATAAGCCTTTGTTCCTTGGGTGCTCACCCCCCCCCCCCCCATTTTTAGCCATTGAATAACGAATAGTTCATTTCATGATTAATTTGTTACAACCATAGTATATATCTCTATGGTTACAACCCAAAAAACGTCATGAGTCCTCGCAAAAAAATGAATATACTTCGGATATTTTTTTGCAGAATAGTCCTTTTTGCACCAGCGCGATCCGCATTTAGCGACAATCATCTCCGTGCCTTTTACACTAAAAGTCATCATGGAATTATATTGGCCTTTTTCGGATACCAATAATCTACGTGATACAGGCCAGGATCAACGCGCAAGCAAGGGCATGTCAAAAGAAATCAAAGGACGATCAAGGCATGAGGCTGGATGAAATCCACGACTTTATTTTACCATATTTCAGAGACATATATATCGACACCGTACCGGACTGCTGAGTGGAAAGAAAGAGAGCCAGAAGTAGAGGTGAGTGCTAATTAATTAGCCTCAGGCCCAGGTCCAGGGACTCGGGAGCTCGGACGCCGATGCCGAAGGCGTACGGAGTCGGACGTGGACTCGGCCGAGCTAGCTCAGAGCAGAGCAGAGCAGTTATCATGTTTATCAAAACGATTCAAACAGCGGGTTGGGTGACTTGGCCTGGGTCACATTTTTTCGCAATGTTAAGAGGTAGTACTAGTAGTAGGCTACTAGAAATTACAATTTTGACTTAGAAGTCTACAATGTTTTCGACTCCTCTGGCAGTCTGGGCATCTTTTCAACCATTTCACTTGAAATTATGAATATGATTTGAAGTCTTTGATTAGGGAGGCCAATGCCCGGGCGTAAGGCTTCTACACCTACGATTTGTGCGCTCGTCGCCCACTTCAAAAAATTAGCAGAGGGAAAAAAATGATGTAAAAATAAAAATTGATGAAAATAAGAAAAGAAAATACAATTATACATTTCACAACATAGTCTATCTAGTTAATCACGGATCTGTAACAGTCTTTCACCATTTGTTGACGATCTTGCAGATTTTGACGTATTTTAATCCAATAATTGTTGTAGCAGAAGACCCTGACGCGCGCGCACAACCGACTAAGAAAATCCTAGAGGGCGTAGAGGTTTGCTCACTAAAAACCTTCTCATTGGCAGAAGGTAGACCCTAAAAATATGGGATCCGTTTTGATTAAAGTAAGAGATCAACATTTCAGATGTTCATAATTGCCACTTCTAACCACTAGATTTCTAGAAAATTTAAAGAAAAAAGATTATATCTTTTTAAATACAGATTTTTACAAACTGAACATTCGAAAGTAGATGTTTCTGTCAATCTTGCGTTGGATTGAGCCCTATAGCTACATCCATCTCAAAATGAGTAGGAAAACTGTGAACAGTGACGTCATTGTTCGCGCCAAAAATAAAGGGTATTGAGACATATTTCTGAGCTCTGGTCAGATCGTGCGCAAAGCGTAGTCTTATTTATAGACCCTAGTACCTTATTCTCACAGCACTAGATACGAGTGTCGTGCAGTAATGTATAAGAAGTGTTAAAAAAGATATTTCAGTAAAAAAAAAAGTCTACGTGAGCAGTCTATACTCCAATTGAGAATTGAAATGAAAGCCATGATTTGAAGGTGTGTGTTGTATGATACATGGTTAGTGAGTGTGTATGTTACGTATAGCGAAAGGGAGAGAGAGAGAGAGAGTGAGAGAAATATTATAATGTACATTGCATGGATATGCGCTATGCATGCTGCTGTCCTATTGTGTTCGCTGCAAGATGGATGTTAATTGGACCTCATAACTTCTCGATCGTTGATAATGCAGTGTCAGATTGATCTTTACTCATGAGGAAATACTATTGGATTTGGAATATCACCTTAAGGTAGGCTTACTTATTAATTTTAATTCTTTTCTAGGATTATATTGACTACAATCACGTACATCTACCGGTATGTTTATTTTTTTTGTCAGTTCATGTTTTGTCCCTCCATGGCTCGATTTCAGGACTGCGGCTTGCAATGCAATTACCTAGCTGTGTCGGTGTGTGCGACCGATTCAAGGCTAGCCGCTGATGATGAATGGAATTTTGCGCGAAGTTTTAAACTTGTTATCCGGGCAATGATACGCCCAATCCCCTCGGGCCTGTCTAATTATGAACGTAATTTTGCGACATGAAATATAATTGTTTCAAGGCTCTTACGTACGGATAGGCGTAGAAAGAAGCTGGATAAAAAGAGCTGGATATCTCCTATTTGATGGAACTTCTGGAGTCGGCAGATAGGTGAATTTTCTTAGTGAAAGAAAATACTTTCTTTTAATCTTTGTTTTATTATAAACAAATTAGTAATTAAAAAGTTAGATTCGGCTTAAAGGTAAAGACCAGTATTGGAAACGCCCCAATTTCAAAAAATAAAATGGAAGCTCTTATTACCAATCATATACATGTATGTTTTGACTAGATCTACATGATGATAACAATTTTGCCGGGAAACCGCCTACTAATTGATATATTTGGTAAATTAGTTTATCTATTGGTATGTGAGAGATAAACGCATGTGTCATGCATGTGTGCGTATAGTCCCATATACATCTTTCTGTGTACAGTGCTTGTAACTTTACAAAGACTGGACCAAATTTCTTATCATTTTGATGATTCCAGAGCCTTGCAGTACACACCAATATTTATATGCTAGATGATCAACCTTTTGTGACCGATTCCACAACGTTTCTTTCACAATGCAATCGCATGTCCATAACTGGTCTTTATCTTTAACCCGACAATTCATCCATGTTGTATCGTAGATTCAACAGAGTTAGGCTTAGGATAAAATTACCAAAAAATGACAGTTTTTGCAGCGGGGCCAAGTTGTCCCCGGGTACGAGTAAGCCCGGATCCGAATCAACATGGCGAAGAGCAAGTAATGAAGTATGCATACGCTAGACTTCTTCTTCTGTACATGTCGACAGACTTGTTAGTCCATATGAAAAATGATTTAAAAAATGAAAAAAAGGATTATGAAGGAAAAACTGTGATAGGGCAGGTCCAAGCTATTTGGATTGTGACGTACGGGACATTCAGAGACTTTAAACAAGAAATAACAATGGATGAAATTATTTATATGGCTATCTTTTGGTATGAGTCTGTGGCTATTATGGGCTAGGTAGTTCATTTGTGGAAAGTTTTAGTTCTGACCAATTCATAAATTAATTTTTAATGTAATTAATGTGCTGTGTGACGTATGGGACCAGAGAATTTCTGACTTTTTCAAAAATAAGTTCATCGTAAAAGTTCTCTGAATTTATTAAGTTATGAGATTCATGGTAATGATATCCTAATTCATTATGGAATCAAGCATTAATCACAACTATTACCATATTTTTCTGACCTTTCGTTGTTATGTAATATACCAAAAGATAAATGTGTGTATGTGACGTACGGGACACGTGACGTATGGGATAACTTTTACCTATGGGAAAATGCATTGAAATTGAGAATTTTCGTCAAAATTTGTTAAATTTGAACATTTTATACTTACAGGTAAAGACCAGTATTGGAAACGCCCCAATTTCAAAAAATAAAATGGAAGCTCTCATTACCAATCATGTGAAAGTATATATTTTGACTAATACATGATGATAACAAATTTGCCAGGAAACCGCCTACTAATTCATATATTTGGTAAATTTGTTTCTCTCATGGACTGTGAGAGATATAGGGTAGTCCCATATACATCTTTCTGTGTATAGTGCTTGTAACTTTACGAAGAACGGGCCAAATTTCTTATCATTTTGATGATTCCAGAACCTTGCAGATGCTAGATGCTAGATGCTAGATGATCAACCTTTTCTGATCGATTCCACAACGTTTCTTTCACAATGCAATCGCATGACCATAACTGGTCTTTACCTTTAAATCAGTGACAGTTAGAGTGTTTTAGAACCCAATTAGATCCTCTGACCCTCACTTAATATCCTCTGTGTTAATTTATGAGATAAATCAATACAAATATTACTTTAATAAAGAAAAAAAAAATGAATTACGTTCATACACACTATATTACCATTTTTATCACACACTTGTCCCGTACGTCACATTTCTTAATTTGATTATGTAATCAACACAGAATTTTTGTAATTTTTGTTAAACCTATTTTGTTATAGGTATTCATCTAAATTAGAACTTCCTAGAATATCTTTAAAAAAAAAAAATATTTTCATAATTAAAATTAAACAAATTAATGTCAAATTGTGACGTACGGGACATCACACTTTGGAACCTACCTCATTTGCACAATTAATTAATTTTGAAAGTTTTTATATTTTTTTCCTATTTTCTAGCATGATGGTCTACATGTCTTGAGATATTTAATTTAAAAAAAATAATTCAAATGAGATACAAAAATAAAGATGTAATGTCCCGTACGTCATGCTAATTAATAAAAATCAAAGTTTGTGACCTTGGCATTCTTTGTATTTTGATTATTTTTTTATTTTTGTATCAGATTCATAAAATTCATAGTTTCAGCTTTAAAATGATGTATAGTTTGTTAAATATATATAAAGATGAAATTTGACCCCCAGAGGGGACAATAGCTTGGACCTGCCCGATAACGTCATTACGAGCTTGAAATTGTAGCTGGCGCACAGTTTTTCCTTCCTAATCATTTTGCCTTCGGCGTAAACTAGAAGGGATAAGATTTAGATGACGCCATGCACAGCGAGAGTTTAAAATACGGCTTGCAAGATTTTCAACATGGAAGTCGATTTTGACCCATAATTTCCTGAAAATGGACCATTAAACAGATTTATTCAGTCAATTTGGTAAGTGGAACCGATGTATAATAGCCTAGGCCTAATTTACAAAATAAAATTAATCAGATATGCATCAGGTAAAATGCAATATTTAGGGTAAAGAACATGGCCATAAATGGCCTTGGTGCCAGAATGGGAACGCCTAAAGTCGGTTTCTGTCTCTAAAGAGCAGAGCCGTCCCTATCCAAGTCAGAGGCTAACGAACGAAAGAGACAAAAATTTTGGTCTATGCATGTTGTGCATGCGCGGTAGCGGTGGAGCAAAAAAGAATATACTTGATATAGAGCGCCGTTCGCTCGAAATTGCTGAATATGCAAGAGTGGAAACTTGAGTTAGACCCGGAAGCTTGGCAGCTGGAGACGGCTTTCTTCCAGAAGCTTTGGTATTCAAGGTATTCAGGTTTTCAATACCAAAATCTAACATTTTATAGATAAAGACCAGTTATGGTCATGCAATTGCATTGTGAAAGAAACGTTGTGGAATCGGTCAGAAAAGTTGATCATCTAGCATATAAGTATTGGTGTGTACTGCAAGGTTCTGGAATCATCAATATGATATTTGGCCCAGTCTTTGTAAAGTTACAAGCACTGTACACAGAAAGATGTATACATGTATGGGACTATGCGACACAGGCGCGACATGTGCACGATATCTATCCTGGGGCGTTTCCAAAACTGGTCTATACCTTTAATTACTCATTTCTCAACGTTAGAACTAGTTTTAAAAGAAAGCAAATCTTAAAGGGATCGTTTAACAATGTTAAATCTGAGATGCACGGTTCTACGTGTTATCAGTGTCTGTGATATGGTGTTGTATTGAAGCCCTTAAAAAAAAATTGCGCTTCAAAATGATCAAGAAGTGCCTCAAAAAAGTAAAAACTTTGAGCGACCGGTTTTACCATACTTGTTTTTCCCCAATAGATGGAGTATTATGAGAACCATTTGGCAAACGCAAAATTTGATTTTTGATTTGAAATTTGAAATTTGAGGGGCACTTTTCCTAATTAAAAAGGGGCACTTATCAGAGGTGGAAAGGGGAACGGGCACTTTTCCTAATTAAAAAGGGGCACTTACAGACTTAAAAAGCTAAAGGGCAAAGGGGCACTTCTATGTAAAAAGGAGCACTTTTGAGGTACTTCAAAAAGTGGGGGAGGGGGGCACTGTGCGCCCCCCCCCCCCATGGCTATCATGTGTATTACAGTTTTTTGAGCAACCCCCCTTACCAGATGGTTCTGTACAGTATATTGTATTCACCTTTTCTTTTTGTGTGTGTGCTCAGGTACAAATTTTATATTCTTCAGGTGAATACCCAAGATGGGAGACCGAGGTAAGCTAGTAACAAGATGGCAGACATCATTACGCAAAGGAACAGATTTTGATTCTTGGGGACAAGTGGTGGAAGCAGTGGAAGAGTACCAAATGTAAGTGATAAAGGTTATAATTAGAGTTATCAAACATTTGGTCTGGTGACAATTGCTCCAGGCTTTATTTTCATTACAGATATCATGTTAGAGCAAGACTGAGGCTTGTTTGGGAGAAGGGTCAGGGTTGGTCAAAGGTTGAAGTAAAGAATTGACCACAGAACAAAAGAGAAAGTGCATTCAACTGATTTTCACCTACCATGAAGCTGCTTCAATTTTTGTCTCAATGTACATTATATGTAGTAGTGGGTGTGTATTTCATTTCCTTATCAAAAGGCAAAAAGGAAGGCAGCAAAAATAACAATCATATGGCATTGGAAGTTAAGTATTTGGTGAAACTTGGTTTATTGATAACTTATTTGATTGATATAACAAAAAGGTCGCAGGGCTTTGATTATTCATGTAATTATGCAAGTCCCTTACACGTACATTCAAAATTGTTTCAGTTATAATCAGTTTTGTTATCACTTCTTCAAAGTTCTCAGTTGTGAAGAATAGAAATTCCTCCAATATTACATTACTAAATCTTGTAAATGAGTAAGCTCACAAAGTCATTACAGGTTCCGTTTTTGTATTCAAGTGAATGTATGGGTCACAATTTTTTTCTTGCAAATTAGGTTAGAAAGACAGCTCAACAAGGAAATGAATGCCAAGCCGCCTGTTTTTTCAGAGAGCCAAAAGGTAACACTTGATTTGTGTCCATAAAATGCATTTCACAAATTATTCAGATTTGTGAAAGTTTTATGCCGTAAACATAATAAACATGTAAAAGAGTAGATTCACAATAAACAGCACCCCCACCAGCAAGCCCCAATTTTTCAGCTCGGGGGTAAACATCTTTCAACTAGTGCAGAGCAGCAAAACGCTAGCCACAGATCGAAAAGGCCAAAGTGGTCTGAAAGGTGTGAATTCTTTAGATGGGATTGATTGTTCTGATATCAGCACACATTTTCATATTGATTTTGGATGTCAAAACCAAATCATCAATTGATTCTGGCTGAAAGTTTGCCTGATTTGGACAAAAATCAATACAAATGGTCATTTTCTGCCCAAAGTGTCAAAATGACCATATTATTGCTGATGGGGTTTACTTGACCACTTTTTCAAGCATCAGGCACATGTTTACATAGAAAAGGCCCCTCAAATCTCCTTTGCTGATAACAACAATTTCGAAAAAAATCACCCCTTACCAAAAGGGACCATAATTGTGAGTTTTGGACAAAATGACCAAACGTCATTAAAATGGTTCAATACAATTTTCCCTGGATAAGCTATTCAAACCTTCTCCACCAAAATTTCTCATTTAATCCCCTTATCCCCTAGGCCCGGCCCCCCCACTCCGAGAACGAACGGACCCCATGCGTGTTGCCAAAATGTCCTTTTCGTAACAAAAGAAAAAGGTCGACCCGTATTGACTTTACACACCGGACTTTTGCTGAAAAGGGGGGGTGCTGAAAAAGGCTCGTATACAAAAAGGTCGAACCGTATTGACTTTACACACCAGACTTTTGCTGAAAAGGGGGGGTTGGTTGGAACACGCATATGCGTACCCTAAATAACACTGAGTGGGGGGGCCGGGCCCCTAGGGTATAAAAATGCCACTGCTTATATTTTTTTTGACATTTTTCCCATAATGCATCACATTTAATCGACTAAACACTGGTGTCGCTAGATGGCGCTGTTGAGTGTGAATCAACCTTATTTGACACACTAATTCTGCAAATGACAAAGTTTTTAAATTATTTTTTAATGGCAGTCCTCAAAAGTTTGTGGAAATTTTATGCAAAGTAATGGATTTACATTAAAGGTAAAGACCAGTAATGGTCATGCGATTGCATTGTGAAAGAAACGTTGTGGAATCGATCAGAAAAGGTTGATCATCTAGCATCTAGCATCTGCAAGGTTCTGGAATCATCAAAATGATAAGAAATTTGGCCCATTCTTCGTAAAGTTACAAGCACTATACACAGAAAGATGTATATGGGACTACCCTATCTCTCTCACCAGACCATGAGAGAAATAAATTTACCAAATATATGAATTAGTAGGCGGTTTCCCGGCAAATTTTTTATCATCATGTATTAGTCAAAACATATTCTTTCACATGATTGGTAATGAGAGCTTCCATTTCATTTTTTGAAATTGGGGCGTTGCCAATACTGGTCTTTACCTTTAATGTAAAGAATACATCAATACCTTTATATTTTCTTCGTTTTACTGGGTGCAGCCATTTTTTGTCCTCGCCGGAGACTGTGATGTAAATGCGCTATGGATGTATGATTGGCCAACTATATCAATCGTACTATATCAAGTATAATTGCATGTTTTATTAAATCTTCAAAAAATGCATTTATTTTTTAATTGAAAATATTATTTTAATTTAAATTATATATAATTTACATTTGTCATATTAAGACAGTAGTAAGTAAGTATCTCTATTTTACTGTGAGCTGATTCATAAATTTTCTAATTGGATGGCAGGAAGTCAGATGCACTCATGGGAGCTTGATCAAAGCACAAGCGCATACGTTTTTCTAGTCTTGGATATTACACATTTCTAGGGTTTGACGTGTTTGTACATGTAGATCTCCTACTATCGCAGATGTATTACAGTCATCAAAAACAAAAATAGAAATTATAGTTTTGACCTGTGGTCTATCACTATTAAGTATTAGGGATGGTCAGCAGCTCTATATGCATTTGAACCGGTGTATACGGTTCAGGAAATGAGAATAGCTCGAGACTTGATCACTGTATGTAAGCCTTACGAATAGACCAGTTCACGGTTAGCACATGTCCCAAATGACCCTGAATATCCACAGATCTTTGTAAATTTTGAAATAATCACTCCCACAGTGATGGAGGTGCTACATAAATATTCTTTGTTTCCCCTTTCAAAAGAATACTTCCACCTGTGTATCATGGAGTGCACTGCTTGTGCATAAATGAATAATGATTACACACCTTTCATGAGCACGTATCCAGCATTTTATCTCTCTGTATTTCACAATTTGGTCTGCTTTGACCTTTATCTGTTCATGCTCGGACTGCAACTATGAATTGGCTTATTGGACTCATAAATATGCTCCTTGCGCGCTCCATATATTGTGCTGAGTGCATCCATGCCAGCTGCAGAGCTAGAGCGGAATACAGAGCAAATACGTCATAATGGCGGCTCCCATCTGAACTTAAAGCAGACGATAACCATCTTCTTATGTGGAAGCTTTAGTGAATATACATACCGTACAAACCTGATTGTTATATGAAAATGTGAGTTTAAACGTCCTTTGTAAACTTGCATTTTTAGTCTTTGGACTTTTTGACAAGTCATGAATAAAACCTTATTTGAACTTGAACTTGAACTCTACATAATGATGCAGGTCACAATGAAGGCTTTCATTCTCCTTTAATTCATAACTGTGTTTTAAGGTGAGGACATGTTGAACACTAACATTAATATTTTTACTTTCTTTTGAATTGAATAGAAAACTCTGCAACAAATCATGGCCTGCCTGAACCTCAGAGCTGAAACATTACAAGTGAGATCCCTTTCCTCTACTACTTTCTTTTATTTTACATACCGGTATCACATTTATAGGTTATTTTCATACATACATGTACATGTATATATATATATATATATATATGAAGACTAAACGTTGTGAAAAATTAGTGTATGATAGTACTGCTAATTTAACGAAGCTGATCGTCAGTAATCATAATATTGATATATTATGAACTCAGGTCAATCTGTTTTGTTTTGTCTTTATACATTACATTGATTACAATATGTAAACCTATGGAAAGTACTTATTCAGCATAGATTGAAGTTTTTTTGTCATAGGGTTCGTAATGCTTAAAAAAGTTGTGTTTTTTTAAATCACAAATACGACCAGTAAAGTTTCGCTAGAAACCAGGAAGCTTACAGATGACAATCACATAAGTTTTAAGTCGCTGCATATCAGATGATTTAGAAAATCACACAAATCGTCCCTGTTTTCACGAAGTGACGGTAGTGAGAAAAATCGTCACGCAAAGTGAATGCAATTTTTTTCACTACCGTCACTTCGTGAAAACAGCGACGAAATAATCTGGGATATACGAGCAGTTCACCAGAAAATGTAGTGATGCTTTGATTTCGTCACACAAGGGACCAATCCTGCATACAACGCGCTATAACAAATGAACATATTTTCAGTGCAATTATTTCTCAATAAGAGTTTGATTGATAAATTTGATTGAAAAAGGGAAGTGATGCTGATAATTATAATATTTTTCTAAGAAACATCCAGGGCAAACAAACTACTGAAACATCAGCCCACATTTGAATTGAAAAGCTCGCCAAGTAATTAAACGGACGGTGTTTGTTCCCAATTGAAACGCTGCACATGCATTGGAGTATGCAGCTGAATGTACAAAGGCATCTTTCTTACAAGCCATAGTGAAGCTTCAAGTGATTCCTTTATATTTTTTAAATACTGTAGTCAGTGCAGTGTGAGGCAGCAGATCAAAGAGTTACAATAACACAGGTGAAGTAAGAGAAATAAGTGAAGAAGAGAGAACAAAACAGGCACTGAAAATGTATGCATTGTTATGGGACACTGTCTGCTTATGCTAATCTGGTTACTTGCGTGACGTCACAAATCTCAGCAGTGTTCGGAGAGCTCTTCAAGTGCGACAGTTGCTGCTGTATTTTACCATTTCAAAATTGAAAATAATTGTTACTTTGACTGTTTCCAAGCGGGGAATTTCGATAACCTTGTTCGATTTACCATTCCCTTAGCATTTATGCAATGATACAAATTAAATCAATATTTAAAATCAACAAATGTCTACTTTAACTTGCTGTAGAGACATGACTCTTACTGTGAAGGAAGGGAGTCTGGAGACCTACATGTACATGTAGTACCGGTAGTCATTTTTCTACTTCATTGATCTTGCCTATGCCACACTGCTGTAAGCAGTTCTCACATTCAATTACAGTGATTCCTAACCATCAGAAGACTAAAGGGTTCCTTCTTGAATTAAAAGAATTTTATATATTCTTAGTATTTAAGATCTCAAAGAAGAATATCTTTTCCATTTTCAACAGTCACCAAGTGCAACAGATGAACTTTCACTTGAAGAGTTAAAGAAGTTGGATAAAGGTATGATACTCCATGTTGATTTATATTCCATAACACTACATCCACACTTATGGATCCTCCTTAATATCACTGCTACAAAATGATTATGCAAGGAATCAGATGTTTGATATAGCTAGGTTGAAAGAAATGAAAGAGAACTCGGGTGCCACAACTTTATCGCATAATCTTGAAATTTTTTGTTTTAAGTGCATACTCCATGCAGAAATTTATATATTTGCGATTGTTTCAGCTCTTGATTAAGCTCTTGCGGCTAACTTGCCTGCCATTTTCCCCAAGTGCCATTTTGGTTGAAACCTATTATTGGCTTTTAGGTCGACGTCCAATTCGGACTAAATCTCCCTTTGACAAATGGATTCTTGAATAACTGTGATTAGAATCTCAACCTTTGTTTATAGTAGAAACCTAGATGGTCACCCTATATCATTCATCTTGTTAATTCTCAGCTTTACAAGATTTGCTATCAAGTTCACCTTCAGAATTTCCAGTGGACTTGCCTGCAGGAGCACTCCGGACACGGTATGCTGAAAAACATATTACAACTATCATACAAGAATTAAGATGTGAAAGCAATAAACATCATTCCTTTGAATTAGAATAAATCATGTTGCAATTCTCCTATTATGTTCTTTTTGCTTTTGGGAATCATTGTGTCTGAAATCCTGATATAGAGTATCCAATAAAAGTGAGTATACCCCTTTAAAAAACATTAAATATTACATTGTATTTCCTTAGTATGCTATACTGTATTCATGCAATGAATAGGTTGCTTTTAGGCTTGTTTTTTAAGACAACTTTGTAAAAGGTTAAATCAAAATATTCATATAATATTGAATGGCCTTGAGCGGGATACAAGGGTATATCCCACAAGCTAATATATTCTCTTCTATCTCACGAAAGAAAAGCCATTCAATATTATTATTATTAATTGTATGGTATCTTCTACCTCTGTTTTCCTCAATAAGTCCTTCTGTTATTAAATAGTTTCATTATTAAACACAGGAAGAAAAAACAAACATTTTGTTTTTAACCCAAGAGCTAGCAGTTTGAAAGGGCTTCGCACATGCATCCATTGTCTTGGCCTTTGCGTATGTAAACCCATATTTTCCTTTTTTATAAGCATTCACGCAGCCCAGACCATGGGATATGGAGAAATACTGCACAGTCATTGTGTTACTGATTCACAAACCATAAGATATGGTATTAAAATTGCATGCTCATCCAGATGAACTATTTTTTCTGGTTCGCCGCAAAACCATTATCCAAATAATGATCAACTATATGTTCGGGGCGTACTCATTTTTGTTGGATACTGTACACTGTAGACAGCACAGTGCATGGAGGTTTTGTTAAACCAGGAAATCCCTGTTAAAATCAGCTTATTATCACAACCTATGAAAATATGAAAACAATGACATAGAGGCTCTGTTAAGTTTAGAAACAAAACCTATAAAACTCAATCACACACAAAAAAAGTTTGAACCTTTTATCATATTTTCCTTCCAACAGAATATCATGTTCGAAACCTACATGTTTTAAAGAACTAGTTGTACCTTTTATGCATTTATTAAAATTACATATTTTTAGAATAAAAACAATAAAAAAGTCACAGCATTTGAGTGAACTGAAATGTTTCAGAGTTTCATACTCCATCCTCAGCCTTAATTTTTACAACAGAATTGAACCTTATTTTCAAAATTGTCAAAATGAACCTTTTCTCAATAATACACAGGTCACCTAAGATGAACTTGGATATCGATATTGAAGGAGAAGAAGATGAAGAGGATGAAGAAGAAGATGCAATGCCACAACTTCAGTCCAAATCACAAAACATCAAACCTACAGGTAAGATAATAGGTTTAAAGTTCGGAGCTTAAACATCCATTTTCATAGTTGTAACTAGCTCTCTCCCATGCACAATCTCAGTAGGAGAGAACTGTTATGAGCTTTAAGGGTTTGAGGTGTTGTAGTTGAGTGGTGTAAACATTTGACTTGAAATGCAAAGGTTGTGGATTTGATCCCTTACACAGCATTAATGTCCTTTGGCAAGGCATTAATCTACATTTGCACCTGCATACCCAGGAAAGAAAACCTTAATTTGTGTCAGGAATTGGAGATTCCATTTCTTTGCAATTCAGAGCTAATTTTCACCATTCAACTGCTTTTGCGTCAACAAAAAGTTATCATCTGTAGAACAAGTAAATGTTGATCTTTCTACAGGTATCAAAATCATGAAAAGATATGTCATAGCTGGGTCAGGAAAAAAACAACATGTGTATGTAGATTTAAACAATTTAAGATAAAGATTTAGACTTGCTGGTTTACTTCCTTTTAAATGTCTACAGTCTCTTATTTAAAGGCATCATTTAACAATGTTTCCAGTTTTACAAATCTGAGATGCATGGCCCTACAGTGTCTGTGATATAGTGTAATATTGAAGACCCAAAGAAAAAAGGAAAAATCTTTGAGTGACCGGTTTTACCATACTCATTTTCCCCAATAGACTGTAGTGTTATAGCTGTTCTAAACCGCTGGGAAAACATGGAAGATAAGATATAAAACCTAAGATGGTAAAACAAAAGATACAACATTTAATACAGAAAACCAATTAGCTCCTTATATCGTCTTCCAGAGCGCATTATTACGTTTACCACGCACTTTGGTAAGGAATTATGAGAAGAATTTTTAGTAACAGAAAAGTTACTCAAAAGGATCAGGTTAGGATATAACAATATAACAGATATAACGGTTTTCAGAATACTGCTCCTAGCCTCTTGGGAGAGCCAGCCGGGTCGTGACATAAACCAAACTTTGTGCAATAGGCATAAATTGTGCCTGCTTCAAATTATTAAGTGTTTATGTCGAATATTTTGTATTTTCAGGCCAAATTCATATTCATATACAATTTTGACATATTATGTTCACTGGAATGATTTCTTTGGTAAATAATTCAAATTATACAATTTGCTTTTGTAGCTGGGTCAGGAATCACAAACACAAATCACTTTGCAAAATCGCTGATGAAAAAAGTTGCTAAATTTACAGTCAGTCATTACTTTAATTTATTTTACAACATGTAATAATTTGATTGTAACACATCGTTATTCACATATTTATGTATCAGACTCGACAGTTTCTATGACTTTGTGTACATTATTTCTACCATTGTTATCTATCTGTTTGTCATTTTATTTGTATTTGAAATCTAACCCCAAATTTTGGTTGCAATAAAGAAATAAATAATAATAATTCATATTGTGAAAATAATACTTTAAAAATTATAGATTATCTTAAATAAGATATAGAAATGAAGAGCAACTGCAGAAGAATATGGGATTATTGCATTCTGCCATGACAACTGCAAATAATACTATCTATCGTCAAAAAACGTGACGCTGCAAAATCACCCTGAAAATCACACAGTTCAGCGGGTGCAAATCAGTAATGTTCATGAACCAGGTGCTGAATAAATCTTCGCCGTAAGCCTCATTAGCATATGCGCTGCGGTCTGACTGCATAAAGTTTTACAATGTGTTTCATCAAACTCAATTGGAATTCAACAATTACTCTTACTTTTATTTTTCCAAAGGCACGCTTTTACCAAGGATAGCCCATGAGCCTGGGACTACTGGACTGTCAATCCATTTAGAGAAGATTGGTCTCAAAGATTCCACCTCATATCTTGATCCTTTTATCACTGTCTCTGTCAAAGGTGAGATTCATCACAGAATCATTATCTTATAGAAAACATAAAGAAGGCGTAGATTCTTTCACGTTTTGTCTGTATTTACTGTTTTAACGAGAGTAAATTATAACAAGAAAAATGCTTTGTTCGGACACCCTAGTTTTATTGGGTGCCCTGTATCTTTTTATTACCTCGTCTCGACCTGAAGAAAGTGAAGAGAAGTTGCCGCAAATGTTGCATAAATCTTCGGCTGAAATAAGTTCAAGAATTTTTGTGCTCTTTTTTCTTCATAAGTTTACTTTCTGTGAGTAATCAATCAGATACGATTATTTACGTCTGGGGACTGGCCTTTAACCTAACAAAGTGAAAGACAAGACTTGGTTTCGAACCAAGCATACCACCGATGACACCCTGTTAGATCAACTAACGCCTTCCTAAACAATTTTTATGCCGCGCCCACCAAAGGTTGTGCCGTTGATTATATGTTTTCGGGTTGTTCGTCCATCTGTCCCAGTTTCTCGTTATCTTTAGATACAAACTTCAAACTTGATGATAGTATGTATCACCATACAAAGACAATCTGATTAGATTTTGGGTTAGTAGGTCAAAGGTAAACAGTCACATACTGTAGGTCAGCTTTTGAAATTCCAGCTATTAGCCTCGTTATCACGATGTCTCAAGAACCACTAGAGTTCAACTAGTGTTCAAAGTTGTTGATACATGTTGTATGTATCATCATTGGAAGACAAACTGAATAGATTTTTGGTAAGTAGGTCAATGGTCAAAGGTCATAGAGGTAAATTTAGATTACAGATTTTTATCCTTATCGGGATATCTTACAAACCACTGGAGATACCAGGCTCAATCTTGTTAATAATATGTATCACTATAGAGTGGTGAAGTGTGACGTCAACAAAAATCTTTTTTTAGAATTTCTCAATTTTTTCTTCATTTTCCGAAAGAGCATAAAAAATAATGTCCAAATGTCGAAAACCAATTGAATATGTTAAGTATTGGCTGAGATAGGTTATGAGCCAGAGCAAATAGCACTGAGTTCCTATGGGAAATCTTTTTATTCAGATGGTCATATCTCAGCCAATACTTAACATATTCAATGGGGATATGACCATCTGAATAAAAAGATTTCCCATAGGAACTCAGTGCTATTTGCTCTGGCTCATAACCTATCTCAGCCAATACTTAACATATTCAATTGGTTTTCGACATTTGGACATTGTTTTTTGATGCTCTTTCGGAAAATGAAGAAAAAATTGAGAAATTCTGAAAATAGATTTTTATGACGTCACAGCTTCGGTACTCTATAGGAAGACGACCTGATTAGATTTAAGGTTTGAGGTTAGTAGGCCAAAAGTCACACGTCAGCTTCTGAATTTCAAGCTATTAGTCTCATTATCGCAAAACCCTAGAATAACTAGAGATATGAGGTTCAAACTTGGTGATTTGTATCACCATTGGGAGACAGTCTCATTAGATTTAAGGTAAGTAGGTCAAAGGTAGTAGGTTAAAGGTCTCAGGTCAATTTCTGAAATTGAAGATTTTTAGCCTTGCTTTCTCAATATCTGAACATGGTGACAATATTACTACCTGTATAGGAAGATGATCCAATCATATTAGTAAGTTAAGATCATAGTCGTGGATTGACATTTGATTGTAGGCTATTTGTTTTTCATGATATGTCACAAATAATTCCATCCATTTCCTATTCTGAATTTAGGGCGGAGGCCTATAGTAGATGCAGTCACATTAGTCTTGTTGATCATAAGTTTAAATATTGTGAAAAATTTGATTTGATTTGATTCTGTTTCTCTTGTAGATATGGCTGGTGTCGATGTCATGAAATCACAAGACACTCCTGTTGCTACTAAAAGAGAGGACCAGTATGTCATCTACAAATCGAATGTGGAGTTACAAAAACCACTGGAAAAATTACCCAAAGGTATGTACCGTCTTAAAAAAAGCAGCATCACCTTACAGGAAAAAAATTGCCTTGCATGATTGTCAGCAAGCAGTGAAAATATTCATGTGCAAAGAATCTTAAAGGAAACCTCACCCAAAAAATAACTTTACTTTTTCTGAGAGATTTATTATATTCTTCAATCTACAAGATTCCCCACCAAAGAGAGGCATAAAGCAAGAATAATGGTCAGTTTATCAGCACGGCATGGGCATCGCCATTTTCTCAAAAACGTGACGTACTATGTGAAGTCTTTTATCAAGTTAATGTTTTCAAATTTATGGATGCTTCCTTCCCAGGTGTGTATGGTGATAAAGCATTTCATTCACCTGCTATTATCCTTTGTACTACAATTGCCAGAATGCAAATTGAATAAATAAGTTGGTGCTTCTTTAGGGTAAATGATTTGTCAATTGCTATATCTTAATATTGTAAAATGAATTAGTTACATTGTTCCCCTGCTATAAATTTTTCACCAGATATAATTACTTTTTTCTCAGCTATGGTTTTTTTCTCACTGAAAAGTAAAGGTTTTGTTATTGATTTCAAAAGCCTTTCCAACTGAAGCTTGGCGTATGATACATGTACAACTTCAACTGGCACGTCACATTTTCAAGAAAATGGCTGCTAATACTATGCTAAAATGGGTACCCGGTAGGATGCGAAAGCTAATGTGCTTAGATTAGCAAGTGTGCGCTTTTAAAAATGACACCTGGCTGAAATACTCCCCAGGGAGTGGAGAATGTGTATACATTGTGTGCGGGTAAGCCTGAATCCAATGACCGGGGTAATAATCTGATTGCAGGGCCCTCAGGGAGAACAGTATGAATACTGATGAGGCTACTCTGGGTAAACAAGACATATTATTATTATTATTATTTATCACATCATGCCAAGAACATCTTCATTTATACATTTCTTGTACATTTTCGTAAGGAATATTGTACATCAAAGGGCAGGAATTCATCAGTATACTTATTCTTCGGGTGAGGTCTCTTTGAAGGAAAGAAAATGGTAGAGCAAACAGAAGAAGAAGAAAAAGGAGAAATACTAAGATGTAATAAAAATTACTTTGTAATTGCAGCCTCGAAATTGCATTGAACCTTCAATATGAAACACACATTCTATTGGCATGTGAAAATGGTGTTGTCAAACTATTTGATAAATAGTTTACTGTTTACAATGCAATGGCAAGTATTAATAATAATTGCATTTGATAGTTCAAAGCTTATGTAACTTTCTTGATTTTGAGATTCTAGTTATTGGGGGGGGGGGGGGGCTACTGGAAAATGAAATTACATGGAAAAATGTTTATATTTTTAAATGGTGACAGGGAACATTTTTATTGAATTCTTTATGTGAAACTCTATCCTGATTAGTGTGACTTTTAAGAAAGGAAAATATAATTGCTAAATTTGAAATCTCTACTCATCTTCCCTTTAGGGAAACAATGATAATGATAGTGCGAATTAGCAGTTGTTCAGAATTTTATATCCTATACATACACATTTGATGTTATCTACAATATGTAAGCAACGTGTCATACATTCATTGTATTTTCCTTCGGCAAGAAAAAAATCTACATCTGCCATTCCGACTCAGGTGTAGTAATGGGTACCCAGTAGGAAGAAATTCCTTGAATGAGCACCTTATCATGGTAGCTTGGCTAAAGCCAGGGTAATAAAAGGATTGAAGGGCCCTTAGGGAGAACTGTGTTGCATGTATGTAATATTGGTAAGGCTACCCTGGGTAAACAAGACATATTATGGTTATTATTGTTATTGTTATTGTATCCCTTGGCAGTATGCCGGAGGATACCTTGGATTCAGCAGCATTGCGTCATATTCTAACTGCAACATTCCTTGACGGATTTCTTCGAATTCTGTATGGAGGTGTATCTTGGTATAATCTACACACCTATAGCTTTTGGGGATGCTGCCCCCAGTTTTCCATCTTTTATAGGGTCAAAGGTCATATTTTAGGGAATATCTTGTGTCGTTCTGCAGGTTACATTTTTTTTCAAATTTCTATAGATATGCATTATACTCTAATCTACACATACCGTAAATCTCTGTGTATAAGATGCACTTTTTTCTGCAGGAAAAAAATCAAAAGTCGGGGGTGATCTTATACACGGGTACAGGATATTTTGAATCCTCAAAATGCAACTTTTTAGTGATTTTCATAATTTCTGTGTCTCAAAATGAATTACTAGTGTGAATAAAGAATAGGATCTACTATTTGAAGTTAAACTACATTCCTAATTTGAAGGGAAGAGAGTTTTTTTTTTCTTTCTTTTTTCAGTCTCAATAAATTATGCCCCTACACATAGCACTTTGCCGGTCTTCAGATCACTCAAACGTATCATGCAGCTGCACTCATATAGGGAATATCGACTCCCCACTCAAAATCTAGCCTGTCCAAATTTCTGTTTGGACTCAGAGTAAAATTTCTCTGTAATCTTTAGTTTTAAAAACAACATTGTTTAATTTGTAACAAGTTTGGAAGCACGTCAACTGCGCCTCGTAATAAATTAAAATCCTTCCCTGCATGGCTTGGGAATCCGAACGTACCTTACCAAACGCTGAAATAAGACACTATTTCATCTGGCTTGCTGCCTTTGCGGTAAAAAAAAAAAAAAAAAAAGCAAAAAAAAAAAATAGGGTGCATCTTATACACAGGTGTGTCTTATACACAGAGATTTACAGTATATTGTTTTGGTGATGCTGCTCCTAGTCTTGACAATAATCCAAACCACTAGTGGCGATCTTTACGCCGTCCTTTTGTTTCAGGGAGGGAAGAGGGTATCTTTGTCCCTCCTTCGAACATAAGGATGACGCAAAAATTGCTGCCAGTGCGGGGGATACATTCGCATTGCGCGTCAATGCAGATGGATTAGGATATTTCTAGTTATTATTACTATTTGAATGTGTTTACAGGAACTGCCGTGTTCTTTGAGTTTAAGCATTACAAGGCAAAGAAGAGGACGATCAGCTGCAAATGTTTTGCATTCATGGAGATGGATGAGATCAAGCATGGACCACTTGTCATAGAACTGTAAGACCATTACTCATATATGTTTCAAATTACTTCACCAAGGTGAGGTAAATGGGTAGTTGGGTACCTGGTAGGATTATTCTTATTATTGCACTGACGTACAACGTCATTGCCTTGTTTTCATTCTGAATTCTTATCCTTCTTGACCTTCTTCCCCAAATCCCATTCATTTAATTTGCACATAGTATCCCGATTCCTTTCCAACTTCGTAGGCCCGTCCAGTGGGCGTTTTGTCTGTTTCTGGTTCGTTTTAAGGCAGTTCTTTCTTCCTTCGTATCTCTGCTTTACTAAATGCTACAGACTTCTAACAAATTGCTCTAGACATTCTAAAAGATTTGTTTTCCATCTGCAATGCATAACCTGGCCTTCAAAATGCCTTCATACTATTAATTCAAATCCGAAATCGAATCCAATATAAAATTGTTAGAATTCTTTAAAATTTGATCCCTTAAAACAAAAAACTTTCTCATATCAATCCTTTTTTGACTCAATTTTACAAGATACCTTTTTCTTGTCATTGCACACACTCCTGTAGAATTTCACGGATTAGTGATCACACATTGTATAAATATTCCTATAAATTTATGAAAATAGCTATTTTCTTGCGGCCATATGACCACAATGGCATGGTTAACCCATTTTTGGATTTATCAAGATATACTCTTTCAAGCCAAATAATGAAAATTAAAACATTGCGAAAATTACTCTTTAATTGAACTTTTTAAGAAAATTGTAAAATAGCTTCAAATTGCTCTAATTTTGCAAGCTTACATAAGTCCATGAAACTTTGTACACGTTCTATAAATCCATAAACGACAACTGTCTGCTAAGATTGTTAGAATTGAATCGTTCGTTCGTGTCTCCTTAGATCAAGATTAATGTATCTTGATCTTCAGAGTAGTTGCTACAACCGGCCGTGTCAGACACGTTGCCCCGGGGTGCGAGATAGGACTCTTGTAGCGTGCCCCCACTTAAAAATATTGTACAATAACAATTATTAATACCCATATCAGACATCGAACGAATGAAGCGATTAATATTACTCTCTTGTTACGGGGGAAAAATATTATTTATATATATTATGAATCAATTGATTTGGTCGATCCAGGTTAATGGTACAAACACGGCACTACTGGACAGAGATCATAAAAATTACAGAGCTTGGTCTTGTTGCTCTGTTCGCCAGCAGTTTAAGGATATGGAATCCTGCGGCACATCACTCACAAGAGTTCTAACAAGCCAAGCTTATACAGAATTGGATGATATCATCACAAAGTTATTGCCAAATAAACAGAATGTACTATGCAATATATTGAAATGCATGACAAACATTGGTGAGGATGGTAATAGTTTTCCAACTAACCACAATAAAACACCCTTTTGAATGATACCAATTGAAGAAAAATTGAAAAAATAGACTCCCTGTACACTGTACTTCCATATTAATATTATTAGGTGGTTTTTAATTTAATTTTGAAAGTACAAATTCTTATTCAATGAAACTTAGACTAAAGAGTTTATAAGTATCCCCAATCATGCGAGGAGAATTTCAGGTCACTAATTCACGGTCATTTCCGGTTTGCAAACTTAGACTTTGTTGTGGCATCAACATCAAGATTTACATTCCTATTCCATGAAACTTGAACATAAGGGTTATCAAGTATCACCAATTATGTGATTAGTCTTTTAGGTAATGAAGTCAAGGTCAAGTGTCATTTCAGGTCTACATACATACTTTGTTGTGGCATCAACATCAAGATTTAGAATTTTTGGAATAATTTCAAAAATGTTTGTTCAAATTCCATGAAACATGTACCGAAGGGTTATCAAGTATCACAAATCATCTGACACAAATTCCAGGTCACAAAGTCAAGGTCAAAGGTCATTTTAGGTCAGTAGACTTGAATTATGTTTTTCACAACTTAATATGAGAGTTAATAAATCATTTTTTGTTTATTTGTTCATATTTCACGAAAGTTATCAATCTTGGTACAAATAATAGTAAATAATTTTTCTGGTGATGCTTAGTCAATATTCACTTCATAATGCCGATTATTATTCAGAGGATTTCCTATTTTGGGGCCTGCTAAGTGTTCACACTTGTACAACAAGCATTGCTTTTTAGCGGACCCATCTGTTTCCAACATGTATTTCTTAAATGTTAAATGTTTTAAGTGCTTATAATTGATTTGTAATTTTTTGCTGAAAACATGAATAAATTTGAAATTGAAATTTGAAATTGAAATTGAAATAATGTCCCAAACTCAATTTTTCATCATATCGAATTGCGTAATGCAGGCGAGACCGCTGGGAGCGTTTCCCTTGTTTTTTTCCCCCCCCTTTGATATTGGATTTTATCATTTCCTTCAACTAATATCACATAATGTATACAATCACAAACAATGTAATAAAATGCCTAATTTTGCGCGTGTTATATCTATGGGAGAGGAATGTCAATAGTTTGCATACAACCCTATGGGGAATCGGATTCCTTGTCATTGATTAAACCTATAGGGTCAATCTCCCAAGTCTGCTACAATATCTGATCGTCCCACTTCTATGATGCTAGTCTCCTTCCCAGACGTTTGCATTTTCCCAGTTATTCAGCCCAGGAATATATGCAGTGTTTACGCCCAAGGACATAGAATTGTTTACATGTCTATAACTTCTCTCTTTCTCTATATAGTTAATATTCAATTCTATTTATGCTGGAAATGTTGAATGCTTCATTCTCCATCACATCTCTCTCTCTCTCTCTATCTATCTTGCTCATTTTCCCTTCCCTTCCCCTCCAAAGTTTAAACTGCCCTGCTCCTTCTCATGCTCTATCTGTCTCTCTCTATATGTACTCTTTCCCCATCTCCCTCTCCCTCTCTCCCTTCCCTTCCCCTCTCATGTTTTAGCTGCCCCTCTCCTTCTCATGCTCTATCTGTCTCTCTCTGTCTCTACTCTTTCCCCATCTCTCTCTCTGTGTCTCCCTTCCCTTCCCCTCTCATGTTTAAGCTGCCCCTCTCCTTCTCATGCTCTATCTGTCTCTCTCTGTCTCTACTCTTTCCCCATCTCCCTCTCCCTCTCTCCCTTCCCTTCCCCTCTCATGTTTTAGCTGCCCCTCTCCATCTCATGCTCTATGTATCTCCCTCTCTCTGTCTCCCTTCCCTTCCCCTCTCATGTTTTAGCTGCCCCTCTCCATCTCATGCTCTATGTATCTCCCTCTCTCTGTCTCCCTTCCCTTCCCCTCTCATGTTTTAGCTGCCCCTCTCCATCTCATGCTCTATGTATCTCTCTCTCTGTGTCTCCCTTCCCTTCCCCTCTCATGTTTTAGCTGCCCCTCTCCATCTCATGCTCTATGTATCTCCCTCTCTCTGTCTCCCTTCCCATCCCCTCTCATGTTTTAGCTGCCCCTCTCCTTCTCATGCTCTATGTATCTCCCTCTCTCTGTCTCCCTTCCCATCCCCTCTCATGTTTTAGCTGCCCCTCTCCTTCTCATGCTCTATGTATCTCTCTCTCTCTGTCTCTCTTCCCTTCCCCTCTCATGTTTTAGCTGCCCCTCTCCATCTCATGCTCTATGTATCTCCCTCTCTCTGTCTCCCTTCCCATCCCCTCTCATGTTTTAGCTGCCCCTCTCCATCTCATGCTCTATGTATCTCCCTCTCTCGCTGTCTCTCTTCCCTTCCCTTCTCATGTTTTAGCTGCCCCTCTCCATCTCATGCTCTATGTATCTCCCTCTCTCTGTCTCCCTTCCCTTCCCCTCTCATGTTTTAGCTGCCCCTCTCCTTCTCATGCTCTATGTATCTCCCTCTCTCTGTCTCCCTTCCCATCCCCTCTCATGTTTTAGCTGCCCCTCTCCTTCTCATGCTCTATGTATCTCCCTCTCTCTGTCTCCCTTCCCTTCCCCTCTCATGTTTTAGCTGCCCCTCTCCATCTCATGCTCTATGTATCTCCCTCTCTCTGTCTCCCTTCCCATCCCCTCTCATGTTTTAGCTGCCCCTCTCCTTCTCATGCTCTATGTATCTCCCTCTCTCTGTCTCCCTTCCCATCCCCTCTCATGTTTTAGCTGCCCCTCTCCATCTCATGCTCTATGTATCTCTCTCTCTCTGTCTCTCTTCCCTTCCCCTCTCATGTTTTAGCTGCTCCTCTCCATCTCATGCTCTATGTATCTCCCTCTCTCTGTCTCCCTTCCCATCCCCTCTCATGTTTTAGCTGCCCCTCTCCATCTCATGCTCTATGTATCTCCCTCTCTCTCTGTCTCTCTTCCCTTCCCCTCTCATGTTTTAGCTGCCCCTCTCCATCTCATGCTCTATGTATCTCCCTCTCTCTGTCTCCCTTCCCTTCCCCTCTCATGTTTTAGCTGCCCCTCTCCTTCTCATGCTCTATGTATCTCCCTCTCTCTGTCTCCCTTCCCATCCCCTCTCATGTTTTAGCTGCCCCTCTCCTTCTCATGCTCTATGTATCTCCCTCTCTCTGTCTCCCTTCCCATCCTCTCTCATGTTTTAGCTGCCCCTCTCCATCTCATGCTCTATGTATCTCTCTCTCTCTCTGTCTCTCTTCCCTTCCCCTCTCATGTTTTAGCTGCCCCTCTCCATCTCATGCTCTATGTATCTCTCTCTCTCTCTGTCTCTCTTCCCTTCCCCTCTCATGTTTTAGCTGCCCCTCTCCATCTCATGCTCTATGTATCTCCCTCTCTCTGTCTCCCTCCCCTTCCCCTCTCATGTTTTAGCTGCCCCTCTCCTTCTCATGCTCTATGTATCTCCCTCTCTCTGTCTCCCTTCCCATCCCCTCTCATGTTTTAGCTGCCCCTCTCCTTCTCATGCTCTATGTATCTCCCTCTCTCTGTCTCCCTTCCCATCCCCTCTCATGTTTTAGCTGCCCCTCTCCATCTCATGCTCTATGTATCTCTCTCTCTCTCTGTCTCTCTTCCCTTCCCCTCTCATGTTTTAGCTGCCCCTCTCCATCTCATGCTCTATGTATCTCCCTCTCTCTGTCTCCCTTCCCATCCCCTC